GCGGTGTGATAGCATCCTAATTCACATAATTACCGCCCGCGAACGCCACCAGCGGCCGAGCGGTAACGTCGCTGAACACTGGTAATTCAGTCCGAGGTTCGAATCCGGCGAACGGACTGGCTGCATCGGTGTTTTCCCCATGTGTAACATGTATACAAGCCAGTTTTCCTTAAAAAGTCCTCAACGAAGGCATCCTTTTTTTTTTTTTTGTTTTTTTTTTTTTTTTTTTTTTTTTTTTTTTTTTTTTTTTTTTTTTTTTTTTTTTTTTTTTTTTTTTTTTTTTTTTTTTTTTTTTTTTTGTTTTTTTTTTGTTTTTTTTTTTTTTTTGTGTTTTTTTTTTTTTTTTTTTTTTTTTTTTTTTTTTTTTTTTTTTTTTTTTTTTTTTTTTTTTTTTTTTTTTTTTTTTTTTTTTTTTTTTTTTTTTTTTTTTTTTTTTTTTTTTTTTTTTTTTTTTTTTTTTTTTTTTTTTTTTTTTTTGTTTTTTTTTTTTTTTTTCTTTTTTTTTTTTTAGGCAGATAGCCTCGAGTGCTTTGCCGTAATCTAATAAACCAAACCAAACGCCCGCGAATGACTTTAGGGCATAAAATTGAACTATCTGGTAAAAATTCTATGTAATTGTATGCCAGTATTGAAAGGAACAATCAATCTGATAAGAAATGGCTGCGACTTCTTTTGAAAATGAGATGTAAATAGTTACCAGCGAGGATATTCCGTTTGGCATTGGTTGTACCATTATTGACGACTTTATCGCCTGCGCCGGCAAAACGGAAAAGTACCCACATTTTTTATTCTTTGTTTTTAGGGATAACATTGTATTTGTAAAGAAATCCAACGTTTTCTTTCTTATAAGTACATAGACTCTAGAATTCTATTGTAATTCATTATGATAAAAAAAGTATTTGACAGTGAAATGACGTTTAACTATAAAATATGTAAATCCATTTGTATACGCTGCCTTTGGTCGCATTTGTTCCAAAAATGCATTAAAAAAAAAGAAAGAAAGAAGCCCCAGATGATGCAACTGTCACAATACTGCTGTCATGTCATCTGCAAATAATATTGCATTGCCATCAGTTAGATAATCAAATCTGCCTCTTTCTTTCTTTTTAAGAGCACCATCTGATTCCAGCAGACATTTGTCAATACGATCTTTTCGCACTATACCTGCTGCCTGAAGACCCATTGAAATGAGCTGATCGAGCAGTGAAATACTGATGAAAAAGTTATCAAATACAAAATGATATTGTCCAGATATTCCAAAAAATTCATCGACTTCACATGTTTACAACATATGAAGATCCAACAGATAAGTTTGCCAAGTTGCTTAGGAGAGTCACAACTTGGCAAACTTATCTGTTGGATCTGAATTTGCCTTGTCAGCAACATGTAGATGAGAAAATATAGTTCCAAATTGGTTACGTCTCATGACACCACTAACAAGTATATTATGTGCATCTATTTTTTGCTCCCAGAGTATGCGTTGTCTGGGAACCGAGACATAGCCACTAAAAAATATAATTTTCAAAAAGGACTCAAATTCGGAGTTAGTCAGTAAAGTCAAGATTTATAACCCTTACTTGAAGCATATAGATTAGAGTACAATACAATGAGTTCAATGACTTTGTCATCAAGAAAAAATTCAAGAACCTCTTTAGAGTTTCCACTGTTGTGAAGAAATCGTTTGTTACGTGTGTAACACTTCCCTTTCTGGGCTGTGTATTTAGATCAGCTTTTTTCTATTTATGAATCTTTGAGATTTTTTTCCTCTTTGATGGAGTCAGTTGCTGCACAGTAGATGTGGATGCAATTTCATTCTCAGGAGAATCATCTTCAGGTTTCAATAAAGGATCATCTGGTTCCGAATCAGCATTAGAACCCTCTTGAATAAGAAAAAACGCAGGTGCACGCACAAAGAACCTGGCAGATTATTTATTATTACCCCTTCTTCATCTCCAGAGTCCTCATCAGAAATGGGTGATATAGTATTTTCAGGTGGTTGTATGAGGACTGTTTCAGAACTATTCTGAGCTTGGCATATCACCCGGAATGACTAAATTATCTTTACTGCGTGATAGTAGAAACCTTTACAAGACAGAATAGAAGTGAGATATCAAAGTACATTGGCGACCTTGAGGAATATAGCATATAAATAATTCCAACACAACTACCCTTCCATTAATGAAGTGCTAGGCATAATTGTTTTAAAAAACTAGTCTTTAGTTGATAATCTCGCATACTTAGTTGACAACTGCCTATTTACAACTGATAATGCTATTAAAAACTCATAAAAAGAATTTTTCTTTACCTGTTTTTGTTTTGTAAAACAAAACATTTAATACATTATTAATTATAAATATGTTGCGTGCGTACGGGTTTGTAATAGATTGATACTAGTTCGTAAATGATTGCCATGCACTCAAATACAATGATAGCTTAATTAAATTTATTTTATCAACATAAACACTTCAAAGTTCTGAATTTTCCCGCAAAATACTCGTACAAGTTTAGAATATAAGTATAATCAGTAGTTATGCTTCAATCTAATAAGAACGCTAAACAAGGAATGCAAAGCGCATCGTAAGAGAAAGTTAATCAGAAATATCTCCAATCTCACGCTGAACTAACAATGGCAACAATAACAATTTATATAGCATAAATAATGACATAAAGATAGTGTGGTATAATGTTGATGTTGATGTTGATGTACTTAATTATGGCAAAGCACACTAGGGCTATCTGCCTAAGGGGAGGGATGCCTTCGTGGAGGACTTTCTAAGGGAAACTGGCTCGTATACACGTTACACATGGGGGAAACCACGAAAACACCCATGCAGCCAGCCCGTTCGCGGGATTCGAACCTCGGACCGAACTACCAGTGTTCAGCGACTTTACTGCTCGGTCGCTGGTGGGCCTTGTGTGTGGTATAATGAGATTATTACTTTGAAACCGATGTTTCGAATTGATGCACAAGAAGAACCAAATTTCCCATTCTGCTTCATGCATATCTTTCAAAAGTAAAAAAATCATACGATAATCCTTTATCATTTTTTAATGCGAAAGTGTTTTATAAGCTGTGAAAATGTCGGAAGTTTGTAACCGATATTTTAGATATAAATTTTAAAACACAACGGAGTCAAAAAGTCTAAATATATGAACGATTTTTAAAAATTCTCCCAAAATATTTTTAAAAAAATTACGCTAAAAATTTCAGTTAATTTTTTTTCCTCCACAGTGTATTATCATGCAAACTATAATACTCTGTGATTCTCAGTTTATTTGTTAATATTTCCAAAAAGTTGTTTCACCTTTTGATTTTTAGAGGAATAGATTTTTTTTCAAATTTAAAGCGTGACACCACATCCACAAGCAGTGCATGTACAAAGTTGGAGTTCTGTATCTTATCAGGAAGCAGTTTAAAAATCCATGACCATCACCGACAACCCAAGAGTGAACTAAATAACAGCTTATAAAATAATAATATATAATTAAAAAGCTATATTTTTCAGGAACCATACAAGTTCAGGTACCAGTTGCGAAAGTACAGATTACAAATTAACTACAATAAACAACGTTAAAAATGTGTAAACAGTATTAGAAATCTGCCAATTCGGAGACGTGATTGTTCACAGAGGCTTAGGTGTAAAGGGGAAGGAAGAGGGTGGTCTTCTGAACGGGTCCTAAAGACGAAACTCTTTCATGTCTCCTTTTTCTCCTCTTGCTAACGGCAGCTGTGCGAAGGAGCGTTGCATGTGAACGGGGCTTAATTGTGTCGAGAATACCGACTAATTTGTCAATCGAAATTTTTTCGTTTCAATAACCTCTGTGTCACTTTCTTCACTATCGGAAGCGAATTATAATGACGAGGAATTTGATTTAAATCATATCAAAGACGGAGTACATCGAGATGAAATACTACATTTAGTAAGGAATTATAAGCCAAATAAAATAAAAACATCTGCCCTGAAGATAAGGTAGTGCTGACAGATCAACTTCCAATTCATTGCGCGCGCCGCGGCGTCCCCCCCCTCCCGCCGCAGAGCAGCGTGAATTGATAAACAATTTCGGAATGGTTAGATAAACAAAGGATATGCCTTTATCCATTTTTTGCAGCAATTCCACTTTTTGTTTGCTGGACATCGAAAATACTTCGCTTTGTAATCTTTGGGAGCTCCAGCAATCGGAAATTCTATTTGACATAATCGAAAGTTCAAGCTTACTTTTATAAAATTGCTCTAACAGTCTGCAAAAATAATAAGCCGGATCCCAATTCGAAGATTAAGGAACAACGCAATCTGCAACATTAACTGAAAAGAATTTTAGCTTATACCGTCCGAACTTAAAACCATGCGTAACGTATTATGCGCATGCGTCATTGCGACGCATGCGCAGAAAGCAAAGTTTGTAGCTTTGAGGTCCGGATTATAGATCATTCCGTATTATGTGTGTCCAAATTAACGACTTTTGACTGTATTAGGCTCTCTGTTTTGCTTAAAGTTCTGTTTAGAACGCTGTGAGTAAAAACTTTCCACGGGTGATTGTTTCGGTCGGGCGTATCCATCTGTTTTTTTCTGTCTTTCAACAGATGTTAATAATTTCATATCCAGCTGTTATTTTCTCTCTTTTAACTGATGTTAATTATTTCGACTAGCTGTAAATGAACCAGAGTTTGGTCATGAATGTGATTTTGTAGTCCTTAACCCCACCTTTTTTTTTCCAAAATTCAGGGGAAAAATAGCATAACATTTCATTTGTATCATTGTTTTTAAAAACAAAATATGACATATCGAGAACCAGTTGGGATTACATAAAAAAAGTGCGTATGCTATAATTGTGTTGTGATGTTTTTTTGGCTTGTCCATAATTGATGCAAAATCATACTGCTTGGTTACATTTTTAGGTTGGCAGGATAATATGTAAGTATCTGTTATTGTTACTTATATGTGCTTTTAAATTTAGTTTAGAAAATAATAAATCTTTGCTTCTAAGTTTGGGATTATCTTGCATTAATTGCGAAATAAAAAGTAGTTCATTTTTTTTTTTTTTTTAAGGTTAATACATTGTCACGAGAGGTTACAGCAGAAGTGGAGCAAGTCATGAAAACTGTCTGGTCTGATCCTAATGTATCTAGCATTGTTTTAACATCAGAAAAACAAGGATCCTTCATTGCAGGGCCAGATATTGGGTTTGTTTCCTTATTAGTTTTTTTTTATTTATTTTTATAAATTTCTGTCATTTTCATGTTATTTTGTAAATCAAGGGTTAGCAACATTTATGTTACTTGGGGCTCAATAAAAATTTTAAAAGCAATCAGGGGTTCATAGTTTATTTGTGTGGAAAAAATACTAATTAAAATACGATAATAATAAATAAGCAAAATATTCGGATTTCTCTTTATGAAACAAAGATTTTACTTGCATGTAATAACCAGAAAATAAAGATATAAAGTATGTGCATAATCTAACATCAAATTTTAAAATTAAATTGTTGTTATATGCTTAAATTAAATGTGAAACTTGACACTGAAATTTTTCTAATATTGTAATCAAGATTTGCATCTATAAATTTTGTTTTGATATTTTTTTTATCTGGAAAAAAAAAAAAAAAAAAAGCATTTGCTGTTTTATGTGGTTGAACAACTTCAGTATTTCTTCAGAGCACATTTTTCTCAAAATAAGATAACTATTCTATAGCCCAAGTGCAAACATAGTAATATGCTTCAAATAGGATAATTTTGCAAGTTTATTATTTCAATTCTAGGTGGATAGTAATTTTTTATCAAAAAATTTCAATAATGCTAGAGATTTGAATGCATTTACTGAACTCATCATATAAGTGATGTGACAGTTTCCTTGCAATTTTAGATTGCTCTTTTAAACTCCAGCATTGTATCACCTAAAACTCTGAAACTGGTTAATTAATTTTTATTTTCTAGCTGCTCATAAAATTCTCCACATCATGTAATAAACTTTGTTTCTGTTAAAAGAATGACAAACTGCTCCAACATTTTTTAGTATTTGCTCAAGCTATCTTTAGTTTATAAAGAAAAGTCTGTGAAATGAGTGTCTTTACAGTCCAGCTACCAAGAAACCTTCTTGTTTCCTATTTTAGAGGAGAAAAGAATGTTTCTAAGATTTCCTTTCCCATTTAAATAGTGACTTTCCATCTTTATCATTTGATGGAAATATTTTAATCTTTTTTTCTTTTGGCTTGTTGTGTTTTTATTTTTGGTTGCAAGTGCACCATGCCGTATTAAAAGAAAAAAAAAAAAAAAAAGAATAGCTAAACATTAAGTAAACCAATGCATCTTGGCAAAACTGGCTGCCCTCTTTTGCAAATGGATAGTTTCTTTCCCACGTTCAGAACCATCAAGAGGGATCAGCTTGACGTCAGTAGACAGTATCTTTCAAAACTAATTTAATAACCCGTGTTGCAGTGTATAAATTACTCCTTTTGAATATATATACACATTTGTCTTTTTTAAAATTTTGAGTTTATTCAGCTAATACGTGTAAGGTATTTATTTGCATGCAACGTTTTAGACTTTAAATTCCAGCTTAACCCTTGTATCAGCTTTTTTTTTTTTTTTTTTTTTTTTTTTTTTTTTTTCCTTTTCATTTCATGCCACAAAGAATCTGGTTTACATCGGTTGTGAATAATGATAAATTCTTAAAAATAACAGGTACAGAGATTTTCTTTTAGAAACATGGCAAAAAAAGGAAATATTTTAAAAATAAATCCAAAGTTTCTTTCCTTGCACTTTTTGGTAACTGCTAGTAATGTTATTAATCTAATTGTGCATGTGCAGGATAGAGGGGATTCTGTTTAGGGAAAACCTTACAGCTGAGGATTTTCTTAACAGAATATATATGTATACTTATTTTCTCATTTAAATGAAAAAAATATATATATTGAATGTAAATTTATTGGTGGACATAGTTTTCATACAGAAATGCTATTTTTTTACAAAAGAATCCTTTGCTCTCTGAAAAATTATGTAGGTTAATAATGTGAAAAAAATCCAGACTTAAATGTAAAAACTGGAAATGAAAAAAATTTTAACAAAAGTCAGGTAGATGTGGCTTATAATATGCAAAAAAACTGTGCATGCTATTACTGTATAAGCCACTTCCTCTTTAAAAATCCTTAGGAAGAATGTCTGTGGCAGGAAATGCTCTCCATGAAATTTCTTGGAAGAAAAACCTCAAATTAGATATGCCAACTTAGTATGACAAACCAACTATACTTCTCTGACATAATAAACAGTGGTTGAGAATACATTATATTAGTTTCTACTTAAGCATTGTGTAAAGGGTAAAGAATGAACTTGTCACACAGAAACATTATCTAATAGAGAAACTGAACTATTTTTAAATGGGATATTTGAAGTGAGATATGTGTGTTCTGAAATCAAAGAGACATTCAATATATTGCAACAGAATGAATGAATTCTGCATTTGAGGGCAGGGGGGGTGAATTGTTTGAAATATTTTAGAACATTTTGTTAAAGGATATATATTTTCACAAAAAGTGAATAATTAGATAAATACAGTAGTGAGAAGGAAATCAGCCTGTGTTAATCTGGCAAAAGATGATACAAGCAACACCTCAAATTTATGTGCTCATTTGTATTATTTCTTTCTAACTATTATGGCAAGTATGTTTGTTGTTTTATGAGCACTTGTTTTAAACCTTGCGTGTCTAATTTACAGGAAGGCAACAGTCCTAAACATCTTGATAAACTTACAAAAGAGTTCGGATTTCCAGTGGGAATAGCCGATGAGGTCGGTTTGGATGTTTCAGTTCACATTTCTGAATATTTGTCAAATGTCTTTGGTGAACGATTCATAGGGAAAACAAATTTAAATATCTTAAAAGATATGGTTACAGCTGGTTTCTTAGGTATACTTTTATTTATATTATCCTGAAAATAATTTATTGATAAAATCAAGTGTCTTTTTGTTTTAATATTTTTTATTTTCCCTATTTTGAGACAATAAATTAACTGAAATTTTTATTTCTATGTATAAAAAAAAAAATGTAGGTTGCAAATCTGGAAAAGGATGTTACATTTGCACACCAGGTGTAAAGGAGAGAGAAATTAATCATGAGGCAGAAGATATTCTTAAGAAATACAAAATTAAATCTCCCAAACCGTAAGTATAGTTTATCCTAACTTTTATAATGTTTCAAAATAATATTCAACATTTTAAAGATGATTTTATTCATTGTGGTCAAAGCAATACTTTAAAAGTTAGACTTTCATATATTTGAGAATGCCATAATAATAGACATTCACTGGAAATACAGTCTGTGTTTAAGGCTCACCAGCAACCAAGCAGATTTGTTTAATAATGGTAGTTGCAAACGGGGTAAAATCCTGGTGAACAGATTAGCTGTATGTAAATTTTCATGATTTTCCTACATATTGGGACTATGAGCTAGTTTTTCTAGTCCGCCATTATAGCCCTTGTGTGCTTTGCCTATGTTAATATATTAACTTTATGTGTTTATATTCTGCTATTATTTCTGTATAATGTTGGCCACAAATGCATTAATGTATGTTTAATTATAGGTCTACAGTTGAAGAGCAACACATGAGACTTGTAACACGTATGGTAAATGAAGCAATTTTATGTTTGCAAGAAGGTATCCTGGCTAATCCTATATTTCTTTTGTTATCCAAAACTTATTCAAGAATGAAAAAATAAATACATATATACTTCTTGCTTGAGTTGTAAAATTCTTTTTCCTTTTAGTTGGAAGGTGATATAGGGGCTGTTGTTTGGCCTAGGATTTCCTCCTTTCCATGGAGGACCATTTTGATATGCTGATACATATGGAGCAAACTCCTTCGGTGGATGGAACAATTTAGTAAATTATATGGTCCTCATTTTACTCCTTGTCAATTGCTTTTAGACCATGCCAGGGATTCTAGCAAAAAATTTCATTCTAAATGATAATTATTAACAATTAAACAGAGAAATTTGTTGAGCCTTCAGAGAGTTCATTTATGTTTCATATATGTCTCATCTTACACATTACAGAGATAAAGTTTACAAACATTTTTTAAATGCAGGAATTCTCAAGTAATTTGTGCAATATTTATCCTTGCAAAATACTCTTTTCATAAATCAAAATGAAAGCAGTATTAAGATGGAAGAGGTAAATTATTTTGGAGTTGTAATTTTATTTTCTTTGTTTTAAAATTACATGCAAACAAATTTGAGCAATGATAAATTATTGTTTGTCTTAAGTTTCTACAATCTATGTTTTAAAATTTTGGCTCTCAAACTAATTTTCAAAAGTGTAAATAGTGTGTTTAAATAGCAAATGAAGTATGTTTATATAATATCTTATAATAGAGCAATATTTTTGTCTTGTTATATATGCGGTAAAATGTTTGTAAAAAAACCCATTGATTATTTAAGCTCTATGCAGATTCAAACTATTGTTCATAAAGAGCTTTCTAACAACTCTCTGAAGAAGCCTGACAAAGTTCACGACCCTTACCCCTGTAATACTGTGTGTTCACACTGCTGTCAACTGATATTCGTATATTCAGGTTAATGCCTCTCTACACAAGAATTTCACTTCTAAAAAAGTAACTCAGTTCCTCTTATCAAATCATAAATTTTAATACTAGTATTTCACAAAGATTACAACTCGCAGCTCTTAATTAATTCAGATAAATATGTAGATGAAGTAAGGAAGTTTCCTTGGAAGATACAAATGAACACATGTAGCAGCATGTAAAGAATGAAATGTTGAAGAACATCTAAAAAAAGAAGCATTAAGTGTAGGTTGCACGAAAGTACAAATAAGATGTTAGTCCTGAATGAAATAAAGTGGTATAGCTAGATTAAAATGAGCATAAATTTGAAACAGCATAGAAGAGTCAGATTGAAACTCATGGGTAAAGACATTTCTGAAATGCGGCTATTGCTGAAGAAGGGACTGCAATATGTAAAGAAGCCGAAAAAGTTATGACAATTGGATCCTCATCTAGTAAATGATAGCATGGTTGGTTTACTTCAAGAACTTTGAATTAATAGAGTGATTAACTAAAAGAAGACATCTTATAAAAAGTACCATAAAAATTAGTGTGAAGTATTTTTGCAGTTATTAAAAATTTGTAATATGTGGTTCACATATTTTTCCACTTTATGTATAAAATCTGTTTCTTGTATTAAAAGATATTCAGTTAAAGTATTTTGGATAACCATGGTAATTTTTTTGCAATAATTGTTACTTATATTTGGAATTAATAATTAAGGGCTATCTGCCTCAGAGAACAGATGCCTTCCGTGAGAGACTTTTTCTAGGAAACTTGCTCGTATTAATGTTATACACAACCCAACATTGGAAAGGCAAAGAAGGAATGGTCAGAAAGTGATGAAAGTCGGCAAACAGAGAGAGAAAGACAACAATGGGCAATAAGTGATCTTTATTTTGAAAAGGTATGCATAATAGAGTAAGAATTTATTTTGAAAAGACGTGCATAATACAGAGTAAGAATTTATTTTGAAAAGGCATGCATAATACAGAGTAAGAATTTAATTTGAAAAAGCATGCATAATACATAATATACAGTGCCAGCTCAGTAGGTTGTAGGACCACCTTGGACGGTGATACACAAAGCAACACATCTAAATAGAGTCAATGAGACTACAGATGGCATCCTGAGGAATGGCTCTCCATTCCCTGTCAACCATTTGCCACAGTTCACCATCTGAACATGGCAGTGTCTGCAAATGGTGCCCTAGCACATCCCAAATGGTGAAAAATCAGGAGAAAATGGTGGTCAGGGAAGCATCTGTATGCCTTGCAGAACAAGTTGGCTCTAGCGAGCAGTGTGTGGTCAGGTGTTACCTGCTGATAAACAGCATTGAGCACTCCCTGAAGGTAGGGCAGTGTCAAAGTCCGCAGCACATTATTCACGTATCCTTGCACCTTGCATTATCTTTGCCCTGAATACGAACTAGATGTCACCTGGAATTATACACAACTGCACCATGATGCAGTGGTGGGGCAGTTCACAACTGCTGCTGGATTGGACCGGTCCTCCACATTGATTCTACACTTGTACGTGGCGACTATCGTTGGAGAAACAGCAGCATGACTTATCCGAGACCACCACCCTGTGCCACTCCGTCATCCCCATTGCTTGAGCCCGGCACCATTTCAAATGTTGGTGTCTATGATGTGGGGTCAATGACAGTCTTAACACATGCCATGAGTGCCAACAATTGACGATAAATAGTTCTGGTCAATAGGGGAACATCCAGGGTGCCTTGAATGTACTGCAGAATGGAGGTAGAAGTGGCTTGCAAGTGCACCACCGCTTCACGGTAGATGCGTTAATCCATGTGTGCTCACATCACTCTGGCTGCACCAGCACCCCTCGAACTTGCCACATTGCCTTGTTCCAACCATCGTCGCCACAGCTGGCTGAGATTTGCTATGTGGACCAGCCTGCCCTTTACCACGCCCCTTGTAAAATCGTCTGTGTGCTGAAACTGCCTGCTTTGATGACAGCCTGGTAATCTCTGCTATTATATGCATCCTCTGAGACAATAACACATTTTCTATGATGATTTCTCAAACAGAAATAATGCATGAAAATTGAACATTCTGCAGGTTCCTTCCCTTATATCATCTTTAACGCATGCTAAGGAAAATGTAATAAATGTATTCATTAAAAATGTACATACATGCAGAGGTAATATAAGCAAGTCTTGAATGTACTCCTCACAAATGTTCGATGCTGGTGATAGCAGCTATGATATGGGCTTTCAAATCAGTCATGGTTGCTAAACCTGGAGGCACATACACGTGATTTTTACAAACCTCTACAGGAAAAAATTGCATGCGGTGAGATCTGAAGATCATGGTGGTGAAGGCACCATGATCTCCAGATCTCACCTCCAGACCATGGTGCATTGTCTGCGGTAGATATGCGACCAATCCACCATTGTGGTAATGTGTTCTTGAGTCTGCACTTCAGTCGTAAAATGTGATGGTGCAGAATAAAGCTGGACATATCCTTTTGTAGCTGTGGCAGAAGCCATAATTTGGGCCATATCAAGGTAAACTTTTCCTACCATAGTGGTTTCAGAAAAAAGAACATACCATAGATAATTTCATGGGGCATTGCACAAAACCCATTAACCTTAGGGGAATCATACTGGTATTGCACTGGTACATGTGGAGGTTCAGTACCCCAAATTACTATGCTTATTTACTAATCCGGAACTGTGAAAAGTTTATTCATCACTGAGTATTAACTTTATCACAAAAATTTATCATTCCCCATGTGCATCAGAAGTGTCCCACAGAAAGATAATGTGGCAGATCTTTGAGTTAAGATGTTACACCAACTGCAAATGATATGGTTTCATTTGCAAATGATATCTAAGAATTCTCCACACAGCTTTCTGGGCTACTTCCTGTTCTCGTCCGGCTTGATAATGATGATTTTTGATAACTTCTCACATAGCTGGTAAGAGTGAGATTATAGGTGCAAAACCAAAGATAATTATTATGCGCCAAACACAAGGTAGGAGGATCTAATTTGATGAAATCGAAACTATTTATTAGTAAATAAGAAACGGTGGACAAATGTACCAAATCCAGAGGATGAAGTCATATAAAAATATGGTAAAAAGCACACAAGTGGTAAAAGCACACATTAAAATACAGTACACAAACTTCAAAACAGATTAGATTAGGTAATAAAAGCCAGTCTCATTTAAGTAATAAAATTAATTACAAGTGACCTCTCTACCGATGAAATGGTCGAGAAGTAAGTTACAGCTATTAAAATATTTCTGACAAAGACTTAAAACATGGACACTCAATTAAAATATGACAGACAGAAAGACAAATATTACAATTTAAACAAATAGGCTCATTTTGAGCTTTCAGAAGATAGTTATGTGTCACTCTCGTGTGACCAATTCTGTGGCAAGTCAAAAGAACTTCCTTCTTATGATTTCTAGGAAAATTCCAATGCTCAATTCTACGATTTATACTTCTCAACTTGTTATGAAGCTAAACATCCCAAAGTTGCTGCCATTTTTATTGGATCTTCTCTTTGATGACACTCACATAGCTAGCTTCAATATGTTCAGTTGTATCTTCTCCTACTGAAAGATGACTTGTTGATTTTCTGTTACAAATGCAGCCTGTCTCTTGAAATTTTGCATACCTACGATGGACTGCCTTATCATCTGGCGCCGTCTGTCAGTATTTTGTCAGTATTTGCTCCGAACTGGCACTGAATGGTGAGAATGGACTTGCTAACATGAAACTGAAGTGCACAAAATGCTTTCTGCTGTTGTGTCACCATTTTATGATGGTGCTGCTTTACTGCCTGTTTTGTTTTCACAGAAACACTGATGACGATTGGACTTTCAGTGCCATCTATTCACAACTATTAAAATATTCCTTATATTACCTCTCCATGTATGTACATTTTTTATGAATACATTTATCACATTTTGCATAGTATAGCTATGAAATTGGGGCATTCATTTTGATTTACCCTGCACATTAATAAATAAATGCGAAATAATGTTAATTGATTATGGCAAAGCAGTTAAGAGCTATTTGCCTAAGATGAGCAATGCTTTTGTGGGAAGTACGAATTAACATAAATTTTCTGAATAAGCAAGATAAAAAATAATAAATGCGTAAGCAGATGAGGTATGAACCATATATGGTAAAAATTCAAATGAACAGCAAAAATAAATTACAGAGTAAGCTAGTTCAACAAAGTGGTTTTTACATATCAACAACATATTGTACAGAAACCTACAGCATGAATTAAACAATTTAAAAACAAACACGAATACACTAGTGAAAATGGTTATTTCTATTTCCCACATAAAGTTTACTGAATTTTGAGTAAATAAATTAGCACATATACTTAAGGCTTATCTGGCAATCAAATCAGTCATTTTTAATTCTAACGCATTAAATGTAATCTTGGCCTGCATATATCATTCACAAAATCTATTTTTTGCACATGAGCTGACTGCGATACCAAAGGGCTCGGGTTCGAGTCCCGGAGATGGTATGGTTGTAACTGTCCGCTCCTTCATAGGAGGCGATGGTGCCTTCATAATAAAATGACCACCACTTCTGGCCTTAGTAGCGGCCAAGCCAAGTCAGCTGAGGGCCCACCATTGCAGGAGATTTTTTGCACACAGAAAGTTCTATTACATGTCGTCTGTTAGTGCTCTGCAGCATAGCAGACTCTGTAACTGTTGCCAAGCATGATATCAACACAAAATGTTTCTACGCTTAATATATAAAAAACTTTTTTGTGCATGCATAAAGCACTAATACATTCATTTTGACAACAATGCACCCTTGTCCCACCTCCTGTGCAAAGAGTTCCCCTCTAGCCCTGAATTCCATTAAAACTTGTTTATTTTACTATAAAAAATAATAGTTGGTATCAGTAATAATTTCTATAATCATTTAAAACTTACTTGTGTATATGGACATAAAAAATTATAAACAAAAAAATCCAAATCCTGCATGAAGTAGGAATTTATTCAAACTATGATATTTTTCAAAGCAAGGCACACAAGCACAATGCAGGCTTTGATGTGCATGTTTTGCGCAGATATTGTGTTTCTCATAGAATTTAAAGGGAATTACACTACACACTTGAGTGTTGGCATAGCTTTAGCTGATGTGGGCACAGCCTGTCTCTGGTACTTCTCAATTTTTGACATAGACCTTAATTTAACCAGAGCTCTTAAATAAGATAGCTCCCGCACTTTGTTTGTGAAACTGAAAATTTTATTTTAATAATAAAGCTGACTTAAAAATAGATTTTAACTTCTGAATGCATAACTGTCTATCTCTGGGGAAAAAACCCTCTCATGATCAAACTGAGAGAAGAGTGCCCACTCATATGTTGAAGGCTTTTCTCCACAAAGTGCGATGAATTTATAACAGCAGGTAAATTTTTCATTCCCAAAAGCACTAAAGTGGAACATTTTGGAAGGATGTAATTAAATATGAAGGATTAAAAATGTCACTCATACCGAATTTTATTGAGTTTACAACTTGGACTTTGGAGGACATTTCTTATTGATAACATTCTGTTTGATGGCTAGAATTACATCAGCTGGAGTCATGTTTAGAAAGTGTAGGACTTTTTTTTCTCTGTTTTTCACACCCACATATTTCCTGTAGCCATGCTCTTTTGCCCCCAAATTCCTCCCCCCTTTTCAGGTGCCCATCAAACCTCTCATGATTCTCTCTCTCCACAAATCACTTCTAACTGTTCCTTCCCCCAATGCAGGAGTCACCCCTCCAATAGTACCTGCTTCCTCACTAGTTCATGAATTGAAATCTACGTGCTTGAAGTTATCTTACAACTTCTTTGCATAAAATATTCTACATAACAAGACAGCATAAATTACAGTATTTTCTATCATACTATTATGTATTGATATGATTATTACCAAACTCTATAAACATAGGCAATATTCTAAAATTTGAAGTTATTTGATAACTACCTACTTATTTAAAGCATTCTTACAACTTAAATATGATGTTTGTTTAACTCATTTATTAGCAATTTACACATTATATTATAATGATAATGGTTTGAAAATATCAAAAATGAAATTTTCCATTGAGGAAAAAATTCAAACAAATCCTGCTATTTATGTGGTAATCTTAGAGACAAGCCACTTTGAAATCTGTTCCTGATAAATTTTCTATGAAACAATAGTTTTTGAGTTCAGTTTCAGATATATTCTGATACAGTAGAATAGTTTCAATTTTAAAGCAATTTATTGCCACAGCATCCTGTGTCTCACAAATTATGATTTGAACTTAAAAAAATTGGTTTTTAATATTAGCTTAAAAGGAAAATGTTATGTGAACTACCAAAAATACTGCAATAACTTATTGGTAGCTCGCAATTGAAGTTTTGTTGAGCCATCTTCTAGATATTACTTAACGTAACTTGAACAGAAAACGTCTTATTATAAAAATTTGAAGTCTAAAGAAACAATTGTGAAGAATGCAATTCTGATTCAATATTTAATATAAAACTGAATTTAAATTGTTATATTTTTGATAGGGCTGTGTTTGGATTAATTGCAGGGCACATAAAAATTATCAGCATAGCAGAAGGGTTGTTTTCACAGAACATTCTTAGCCAAAGACTGACTCATCTTCATATTGTATGTATAGAAGATTCTAAGTAACAAGTCTTTTGGTTAAAAAAGTAACTTTGGAAATTTTTCCAAAACAATGATTTTTTAAGATATTATTGCTTTAAACTCAGACAAGTGGAGAGAAATTCATAACATTGTAATTCATTATTAAGCGATTTAAACAAAATCATAGTATTTGTTTAGTAAAAATAATTTTCTTTCCTTTGCGATATTCATAAATAGTAGACTTGGCAGCTATGTAATGGTAAGGAAACATTCAATACATTTATTTTATCCGAGAACATATATTTATATGCTTAAGACTATGCATGTGAATATATGAGATTTCCCAAAACAGCAGTGTACTGGAAAGCTTCATAATTAAGCACAAATTGAAATACCCTCAAGGTATGTTGCTTTATCATTATAATATGCAATAAACTTGATAAAAGTTACAGGAATGATTTTGGGGGTAACAGTTTCAGTAATATACTGAACATAAAAAAAAAAAAAAAAAAAAAAAAAAAAAAATCTATGCCAGGGATTTTGAACAAGAGGGGAATTTTTATAGTTTCAATGATGTCAGACTTTTATTTATCTGTTAAGTATTTAGTTTTAATTTATGAAAATAAAAAACTACTCTTATTCAAGTTTTGCTATTTGTCAACATTTCCTACACTTTTTGTTGTTTAGTTTATAAAACATGTTAAAAAATTATCTAAATCTAGATAAATATACATATTTATTTTTTGAGTTTTAGAAAGGAGGGGGGTGGTCTAGCAGTGTTGAAAGGGTAAAAAAGGTTGAGAACCCCTGCTCTATATCATTAACCTATGACACAAATTTATGAAAATAAAATACTACTCTTATTCAAGTTTTGCTATTTGTCAACATTTTCTATACTTTTTGTTGTTTAGTTTATAAAACACGTTAAAAAATTATCTAAATCTAGATAAATATATATATTTATTTTTTGAATTTTAGCAAGGAGGGCGATGGTCTAGCAGTGTTGAAAGGGTAAAAAAGGTTGAGAACCCCTGCTCTATATCATTAACCTATGACATAAATTTAACACTTTGTAGAGAAGAAAATGCATACATATTCTTAATGCATACAGACCATGATAAAATGCATACAGACCTCTAATTTTTAGACTATTAAGGTTTTTCTGCTATAAGATGGATAAGGTAGAACACAATACAAGTGACACATTATTGATATTATTGCCAAATTTTCGTACATGCTTTGTCAGCCTAAGAAATGGAAACTGACATTTCAGTAATGAAAATATTAATTTTGAATAAATGTTTTGTTATCTGAAGTATATTTGAACTGCTAAAACATTTTTCACTTTATCTCTTTTGATAACATCAAGATTTGCATTGATTTATATCCAATAAGTTTTAAATCTAGGTCGAATCACACTTTTTTCCCCTTACCTAATTTGGGAAATGATTATCTTACTTTTGCTTGCAGAGTTATGAGTTGTGAAAGTCTTGAGAGACACATTATGTAGAGTTATGGGACTCTGAGAGGAAATATAAACCAATTAAACCTCTCAGTATCAATACTTTTTAGACCGACTTGTAAAGTGTTGTACTTTTAAAGCATTTCTCACATTTATTTGTAGAACTTACTTAACGGTTTCTAGATCATTGCATACTTAGTAGAAAATGTTTTCATGACACAATAAAAGTGGCAAAGTTGCTTGAAGGACTTAAGATAAATTAAAAATTGCACATACTGGCTGCCAAATAATCTCTTTCATGGGCTGAACAATATAAACAAGTAGAATTTTACATTAAATGTAAAGACTACATTATAAAAATAAAATTATATTATTTAATGGGAAAGTCTGATAACAAGGGGAAAACATATTTTGAACTCTTTTCCAGTTATGCAAACATAATGAAAATATTCTTAAAACATCCTTATACATAAAAATGAACACTTAATATACTTCAAAGTATGAAGGAATACTAATATAGTATTTCTTTCACTTTTAAAATTTTTTACCAATTAAAACTTAAACAATAGAAGAAAATTCCTTTAAAACATTTTGCAACTTAAGTGATTTTAGACTTGAAGATTTTCTAAATTCAGAAATGACACTACGGACCTAGAAAAATAAAAGAAAGAATTACATCTTGCAAAAAGCGAGCACATATGGTTAAACAAAGAATGCATATTACATTATTAAATACAAGAATATTAAGAATTCACGGGGGATACTTTTAAGGGTAGTACAGTGCACTACAACCTACATATTTTATGCATGAATGTATCGTGCAAGTGATGCATTGAGGCAAAAACACTAGCAATAAGACAAGAAATTAAAACAAATTGTTTACTTACAACACTGATGAGAAGTGCTTCTCTACAGCAGAGTTTATAGTATCCAGCAACAGTTATATGTGCCTGGCAGCATTGATAGTGTGATTGGCATATAGTTTCAAAGATGTCAGATATTTCTAGAAAGTGTCCAGCTGCAATGGATATTTAAGTGATGAGATCCTCTACAGAGTTCAACAGGACTCTCATAAATAGGATCCCTCAAAATTTTTCATATGAAGCACTTGAAGCTTAACAGATCAGGCATTCAAGGTGGTCAATTGCTTGATCCACGATAGCCAATCCACTGCACACCAAAAAAGGCATACAAAACTGGCACACATCAGTGCTGAGATGGGCTAGTGTTCTACCATACTAAAATCACAATAAATTAACAAAGGTAGTCAGAACATCTTAATTCAATTCAGGTAAAATCTCTTCAAGAAAAGTAAAATAATAGCTGCCACCGAGTCATATTGGTAGTATATACAAAATAATCAGGAAGTCATTCACAATGCCCACCCACACATTCTCATTGAATTGTTCTTTAATGCATATGGATTTGAGATGCCCTTATATGACAACAGTGTACACTGAAAATACTTTACTGTTTCTCACCTGCTGATGTCAAAGGAACCAGTTTCACAAAATTGGCAGTATAACAGCTCAAATTCATATTTTGTAATCCAACATTTGTCCATCGGAAAAGCATTCCTGATACATCCACAGTGCTTCTCTCCCATTACTGTTTGCAGCCGTGGATTCAATATTTGTAAAGTCTTTCATCATGGGTTACAGCACAGTTGCAAATGGCATGTTCTCATACATGCATAATATTGACTAGCAGCAGCATCTACCTGCAACAGTAAAAGCAATTCCTCTGTCCAAGCATGCACTATTACTGTTGTTGGATTCAATTTTCAGAAATTAATTCCTGCATTGCTATATAGAAGAATTTATTGATGGTGGCAAAAGTTAACAACTTATGCTTCCTTTTATGGCTTAATTTTTGTAGTTGTGCCTCAATGAATCACTTGTTTGCATGCCTTCCTATACAAGACATATTTATTCGAATGTGCTATACCAACCCTTAACCTTTCAACTGTCATGCCCGAGATTATCTCAGGCACAGCACTGGTGTTCGAAAATGTCACGCCCGAGTATTTCTCAGGGTAATTTTTTTTTTTTTGAGTGCATCGTATTGTCATACCCGAATATATATCGGCAGATGTTTATTTCGGCTACATTTGGTTTTTCCAATAAAAAAATTTGACAATTTGTGTACCCAAATCATCAAAATAACTTGACAGTTAAAGGGTTAAGTTCATTCTTGCAAAATAAAAGCATACACTTTAATTGGATGTAAAAACTCTGAAATTAAGCAGTTAAATCAATTTTAGACATAAGAATTTGTGGTTATAAATGACAATGTGTCTATGGCTTTTAGCATTAAACTATATCATTTTCTTAAAACACTACTGGAAACTCAAACATACAACTCTGTTTTACAACAATGTTTACAGTTTGCATTCTAAAGATACATATGAAATAAACTTATGCAAGCAATTAAGTGCAACACTTACCAGAGGTGTAAAAAATGCAGTTTCTATAGGTTTTTCAGTGTACCTTTCATACTGATCAAGATTGTCATATAACTTCAAAGTCAATGTGTCATAATTACTCCTCACAACATCCAACACCTAAGGAGAAAAACTGATCACATAAAATTTATAGCAACAATTCAAGACCAAATAATCTCTCATGATAGCAATTTTCCAGTTGATTGGACACAGCACAATGTAGTGCAGCAGTGAAGTTTATAAAAAAATTACAACTATGACATATTCTCAATTAAAAAGAACAATACACTTTGGAAAACTTTACAAAAATATTCAACCTATATGTTAAAATTCAAAAGGTTAGATTTAGACTGAAAATGGTGACCCAAAAGGCTCAGAATGAAAATTAAAAATACATATATATACAGCAAGTAATATGAAAATTTTGCATTTAAAATTTCAACATGCATTTTATTATCATTTTTTCTCCTATTTTTATATCCCCTAATGGTATTAAACTAGCCCATCAATGTCCAAATGGTCCCTCTGATGAATGCTCATGAGTTTTTGTGGTTTTCTCCATATGCATGGATATGAGTCAAGGTACCTTGCAAAGGCCTCCACGCAGGCATCCCTACCCTTGCTATATACCCTTGTGCATGTTGGTGCTATCCAAATAAATACAGGGTTCATAGCCACATTTTAGTTAAAAAAATAAGCACCTATAAGCACTTTTCAAGCACATTTTAAGAAAAAAAATAAGCACCTGTCTAATTACATTATACACAACTGCATAATCTTAAAAGAAAAATTAGACTTGCAATTTAAAATATGAGCAATGCAATATTATTAAGAGAATGAGCATTACCTCAACCATGGAAAACAATTAACTTTTTTTTTTAAATTTTAAATGACAGTTCAATTTACAGAATTAGTTTACAATGAGAAAAAAAAAACTATGCAGAACTAAAGTATATTACAAGATTTAATGATGAAATTTCAGTGCAAAATATAGAAAATAAATAATAATAAGCCACATTAATTGTACTCGCTTGGCACCTAATAATAAATACAATTTATTTTCCCACTCATATTAATATATAAATAATTTAACTTAAATCAAAATTCTGAACATTTTCTAAATTTTCATTGCATAACAGTTTTCCCTTAACATACATTCCAAGTAAAGTAATTTAAGTAAAAAAGAAGAACATTTCTGAAATCAGGAGACGGAAAATTGCTTCATGCCGTCATCCTTTAATAGTAAAAGCTTAACTAACCCGCATACTCGGAAATTGCCGAATATTCCATATAATCAAGCGTAACTGGAAAAAGAGGAGGGAGCTGGAGATTGTAGCCGTTCTTTAGATTTCTCGGCTAAATAAATGATTTTGACATTTCGATATGTGCATAATATAAAAATAGACAAACGGAACTGAGAAATATTCCGCTTAGAAAGAGCAGCAAAACTCTTTTAAGTGTTCATAAATAAATCTCAGACTGAACATCAAAATTAATTATCTTTACAAAATACCGCAAACGTTATTGCGCAATACGCGCGGCGTAATTCTTCCATACGTGATATTACATAATCGGAATCGCAATCAACAGCTGCCGGTATTCGGAGAATAAAGAACTAAATAAAGGAAAAGAAAGAGATTTACTAATCTGGGGTGTTTTCGATTCTAATTTTGAACAGACCATCAAATTTCCGGAATAGAATCATTCTTCGCTTGGGTTGGGTAGACCGCAAAACTTTTAGTCCTATTCAGTCCAGATTGGACATTGACAAAAAAAGACAAAAAAAAAAAAAAAAAAAAAGAAGCTGCTTCAATAATTAGCGATTTTGCGGAGAAAGGGGAGAACCTCCCAACCTCCGTACTGTATAATGTATTGGGGAAAAAAAAAAAAAAGAAATTATTCTGAATATTCGATTACTTTCCTTTTATTTAAGCCATTCCGAATATTATTCCTTAGAAAGCTAATCTGTGTAAAAATAAACCCATTTTTGGAAGTTTATCTACACTTCAGCAGCTACTGCAACTATATTATTATAAATATTCAGACATATGCTCATAATATAAGCATAACGAACATAATAAACACGAATATGAACTGACCACACGGAACGAGAATGTAAATTATTAAAATCTTGATAGAAATTCAAACGTGTGTAGTATTTGGGTGGGAGGAAAAGAATACCGAATGTACCGGAATTTTGTACGGTTTTTGCAATTCTTTGACCAATAGAACGACGTGCACCTGTCTGTACACTTGCGCACACCATAGGTTACGTTAATGCAGGGAAAGGGGGAAAAGCTATTTCTGGGAGTATGATTCACCATCTGACATTCCATACAAGGAAGAAAAGTTGTTTATTTAGTTTCGGCTTTGGTACGGGGGGAAATATGCGTGTTCATTAAAAAAAGCACTAAAAGCAAAAAATAAGCACTAAAAACAAAAAAATAAGGGCTTTAAAGAAAAAAAAGTAAGCACCTATAAGGGCCATTATATTTTATTTTCAAATATAAGGACTTATAAGCACTTGTAAGGACTGCTACGAACCCTGTAAATAAAAGAAAACCATTACATTCTAGGTCTTTAATTCAGTTCAATAATTATATTGTTTTCAGCAACTGCTACCAAACATAAACTGCATTTCCTTTGCACCACTCATGGTATTTTAACCTAATGAAACCTAAACTTTATTAAAAAAAAATAATATTTCCTCACATAGCAAATACAGTGTTAAGCAGTATGAAACTAATAAATTAAATCCTCTCAGTTTTCTGGTTCATTAAACAGCAGGAAAATATAATGACATTCGACTGTGCCCAGAAAAGTGTTAAGAGCAACATGTCACAAAATGAACAGCCATAAAAACAGCACATACTCTGTTCAAGAAATAAATTCAGTTCTGGTTAATGATCCCGATTCTAACCTTCCTTTTTTGAAAAGAATTAGTTTCATAGCTGCTTTTCCTTTACTTTTCAGTCAATTAGTGGTGCCAGCGACTTGCTTTCTAATATTTAGGTAGAACTCCTTGAATTTTCTCTTTATTGTTCTTACATAAGCATATTTATTTTTCTTCAATTTCACTTTTAAGCAGAGGAGGAAGGTTCAATTTAACCTTCGAAAATGTACAGCCAAACAAATTTACTATAATATGCTGATTATTTTTTCTTAAGATTTTTAACATTTAAGGTGATCAGATATTAAAATTAAGTAATCTGTTATATTAGAAGCTTGTATAAGACAGGCTAGTGAATTACTTAAGCAAAACCACTCTAAGGCTAGTCACACAAAGGAAATGATCTCTTTGTAGAGGACTTTACAAGAGAAACTGGCACACATGGGGCAAATACAGGGAAAAGCATACACTCAGCCAGTTAAGTCACTAGGTATAGAACATGGGCAGCCAAACTTCATGAAAGTAACAGCCCCATTTTAGAATTCAGAAAATTTCAAGAGCTACACGAAAATTTTCTAAAAGCCATATTTATATTGTTTTAAAAGTAGCGAAACAGACTCCAAACACAAAGAAATGTCTGAAGTAAATTAATAAAAATTCCACATGTTCATGTAATTAATGTTATTACATATAAATTAGTAATTCTTATTTCTCCTCTTTTTATTTAAGAATTATTGTATTGTATTGTACTGTATATATTGTAGGAATATATTATTGAATTTGAAACCGCTGTGCAACACAAATGAGAACTTCTTTCAGATTAAAACAAAATGTTCATATGATGAAATCAGAATCAAATTTATGCCCTCAATATCAATTTCATCATGAAAATTATTTTTAGAACAATAAAATCAAAATTTTGAGAGCTATATGTAACTAAATGGAAGAATAGATACAATGGTCAATCAAAATTAGTACAGACTCCACTGGCAAAATATGAATCAGATGATTCAAATCTGTATTTTACCAGCAAATACTTCAGTCGGATATCATAATCCGGCTTTTACTAATCATGGACCTTTTCAAATATATTACAGAACATCGAATATAAAATACTTTACACATCTGTGTTGTAGTAGGTTAGATGACAATGTTACAAATATTAATGTTACATATTCTATATTAATTTGAAATCCACTCTACTTCAAAGCATGTACAGAAACAATCTTCCCGCACTAATATCTAATGATCCCAAGAAACTTCAAAATGTGGGCAATGCAAGAGGAAGGATACTTAGGATAATTAAATACCTGAAAATTTTCAAATGTTACATATTAATTGCAGAATGAAGAATTGCGCTTTTTGTACATGTATTAATTTTTTTCTGTATTTCCATTTTGTTTCCTCTGACATAAACTGGCAGAAAAATTAAAAGAACACTTATAAAAACTCATGAAACTTAAATGATTTTTTGCAGCTAAAAATATGGAACACGCACAAGATCTTTATTTGTCATTACTGACATATACTCAAAATGCAGAAACTCTTATTTCTGCAAAAAATAAATTTAAATATGAGCATAAGAAACGTTTAATAAAATGGATAGTGAAAAGTTGAAATAAGAACATTTCAGAGATAAATATAATGAATTAGTATGGCGTGTGGTTACCTCTGATCTAAACACAAGCTTTACAGCTATGTATTAATTAGATCTTGAGTTCATATGGTAACAAAGTGTATTCATGATGAATGGTTCCTTAAAGCTCCTGGGGTTTCAGTGATGCATATCGGTGTCTTTGTGCATCCCACATTTTTAAATCTGAAGAAAATGCAGGCCGCTATCTGCTGGATCCATTCGCCATCAAGGTAATCGGTCACTGGTGCAAAGTGATGGGGATGAGCATTATTATCAATTAAGAGGAAATTATCAGTAACTGCATTATAAACACCTAGCATAAGGATCAACAGCCTCATCTCTCAATACTTCAGCATTTATAATTCCATTGGTAAAACTGCATAGGCTAGTGAGGCCATTTAAAATAATGCTCACTCAATGAGTGAGTGATGTTAAAGTCCAGCCATAGGCTCTTTATACACCGTTGATAACTTTCATGGATATTTTCAAACAAGGCACATTATATTCATTTTGCTCCCTTCAGATAATAGCACATTTTGAATCACTCTCCAAGCAAAGACTTCAATAAAAAGAACTCACCTCCAGTCTGTGGTACTTCAGTTAGAAT